CCATTCAGTTCTGTAATATCACCTCCCTGTTTCGATTTGTGTCATCTTCTGATGACAAGGAAAGTTCTTGTTTCATGGGTACCTACCGTGTGCCCTGTGCTTTGGTGTCCAACAAAGGTCACCCTTTCTAGCCTTCAGAAGAGGCCTGCATGGTGGGAGGTGGTGTCACCCTTTTATCTGAGCGCATGGAAACTCAGCGCAGGAGCAATTGCTCACGGTCACACAGCCATTGAGTAGCAGAGCTGGCATCGAAATTCGAAGGCATCTGACCCAAAGCCAAGAACTGTGTGCTTTCTGCTATACCACAGGGCGCTCTGGTCTTACCTGGGGAGGCAGGGAAGGGACCCTCACCAGTGCAAGGTGCATTCTCTCTGCTCACGTTGTATGAGCCAGCCCAGCTCAACCCAGGGGCTGCTCTCCTTTCCTAGAGGAGGTTTTCCTCTCAAGGAGCTCCCATTTTTGTTTGTTTGTCTCCCTCCATCTCCCTCTGTGCCCCTTCTTTTCTCCTTCCCACCTCCTCTACCCTCCTGTACAACAGAAGCACATTCTATTCTTCTTTTTTTTTTTTTTTTTTTGAGACAGAGTCTTGCTGTGTTGCCCAGGCCAGGGTACAGTGGTGCAATCTTGGCTCACTGCAACCTCCACTGCCCGGGGTTCAAGCGATTTTTCTGCCTCAGCCTCCTGAGTAGCTGGATTATAGGCACATGCCACCAAACTTGGCTAATTTTTGTATTTTCAGAAGAGACAAGGTTTCGCCACATTGCCCAGGCTGGTCTTGAACTCCTGACCCTAAGTGATCCACCGGCCTCAGCCTCCCAAGGTACAGGGATTACAGGCGTGAGCCATCGTACCCGGCCCCAGGAAGCACATTCTTGACGTTGCACCTTAGACCTGCTTATTTTCTCTTTGAGGACCTGCCCTTTCTGACCTGTAGTCAGAGATCAGAGTGGAATCCACTGACACTGAAGATAGGGAGAGGGTGATGGGGAAGCAGGTGGTTCAGAGCCTGAGAGGCTGGAGTTCAGAACCTGGCACTGCCGTATACTCACTGTGTTGACTGGGGCAAGTTGCTTGACCTTAGCGGTCTCAGTTTCCTCACCTGTGAAATGTGGGTGGCAGCGAGCCTGGGATTGTTGTGAGATGTGTAAAACGTTAAGTGTGGTGTGTGGCATGAGGGACACAGATACTTTCCTTGCTGCATTACTGTTTTTTGTTGGTTTATTGTTTGAGAAAGGGTGTCACTCTGCTACCCAGGCTGGAGTGCAGTGGCGCGATCATGGCTCACTGCAGCCTCCACCTCCTGGGCTCAGCTGATCCTCTCACTGGATCAGCCCCACAAAGTCGCTGAGACTACAGACTTGTGACGCTATGCCTGGCTAATTTTTGTGGGGTTTTTTTTGTGGAGACAGAGTTTGGTCATGTTGTCCAGGCTAGTCTTGAGCTCCTGGGCTCAAGAGATCCACCCACCTTGGCCTCCCAAAGTGCTGTGATTACAGGCATGAGCCACCACACCTGGGGCTGCATTACTGTTGATGCTGACAGATTATTCAACAAGTGTTCATTTACCATGTTAACAAAATAAGCAAGGTTTCTACTACTGTGAAACTCACATTCAGGCGGGAGAGAGAGGTATTCAGCAAATAACTAAACAAGGAAATTGCAGATGTTAATGAAGTAAATATTCCAGTGATGTGCTAGTAAATGCTTAACATCCAATTTTCGGTGGTGGGGGGGGGGGCGTCCTAATTTATATGGCGTTCGTCAGTTTTTGTGGTGTAAATCTTCCCACTATGGCTGGAAATGTACATAACCAAGTGACCAAAGTGGTGTCAACTGGTTCTTAAAATTCCTGTAGGTTTAATAATTGGTTCTTGTAATGCCTAAGCAGCTGGCGTTAGCACTGAGTGTATCTAATCTGGCTCAGAAAAAACCTGAAGATCTGAAACCCAAGTGTGCCTGTAGAAGAGTATTCTAGGCAGGGTAAATGGCTTGTGCAGAGGCCCTGAGGTCAGAAAGATCTTAGTGTGTTCAGGGAATAGGAGGATGACTGTTGGCAGGGGCCCAGTGGGGTGGTGGAGAAGAAGGCAGAGAGAGGCTGGGCTGTGGGGAGGTTCATAGACCATCACCTGGGGTTTGGATTTTATTCTGAGGCCACAGGAAGTCTTTGGAGGGTTGTAGGCAGGGGAGTGTCCGGATCTGATTTGCATTTTTAAAAGATCATTGAGCTGTTCTGTGAAAGACCAGCCAGAGGTAAGCTGGGCAGTCAGTGCTGGTCACTCCAGTGAGGGGTGATGGTGGCTCAGGCAGTGTGCCAACAGGAGAGGGGCCGGAAGTGGCTGGCTCCAGGTAGGGACGTGATAGATTTTATCTCTAGGTGTTCCCTGGCTGTTTACCTTGAGAACACCCAGAAGGTGATTTCTGCTCTTTTGTCATGAAGGAGGAAACAGCCACACATTATCAGGGCTCTCTCTCCATCCTACCTTTCTTTTTGATACCAACTCCTGATAAATCCAGGAGAGGAGATGAAGAAATACATTTGTCTTGGGCTCAAATGCAAAGCAAAACCAACAAAAAACACAATCTCTTCTCAGTGCTGCCCTTCTTCCTCTTGACTGGGGCAAGTTGCCTGACCTTAGTAGTCTCAGTTTCCTCATCTGTAAAAGTTTTGTCACCAAGAACAGTATCTGTTCTTCAGATAAGAGGCTTCTGACTTGGATTTTCATCTTGGCTCAAGGCTGCCTCTCAGGTGCGTCACACACTTATGTAAGTGTCTGGCAGGTTATGAAAAAGGCAATCATCTAGCACAATTCCACTCCTAGCTCCTCTCTTTGTATGGTTTTTAGAAGGGGATGTGAGTGTGCCATCTTTCTAGACTGGCATTGTTCAATAGGGCTTTCTGTGATGATGGAAATGTTCTGTATCTGTGCTGTTTGTTCGTTATGGCAGCCACTAGACTACATGTGGCTTCTGAACACTAAAATGTCAGCTAGTGCACCTGAAAAACTGAATTTTCAATTTTATTTAATTTTGATTAATATATTCTTGTGGTTAGTGGCTCCTACATTCGATAGCACAGTTTTAGACCATGTGTAATCATTTATCACCCTGCAAATTTGCCTTTTGGCAGGTGACTGGATATCCTACTGAAGGATCTCCAGAGAAGAGTAGGCTCTTAGTGAGTTGTCACTTGTAATCCCATTCAATTAGTGGAGAAAGGAATAGAGGTACAGAAAGATTAAATGATTTTTCTAGTGTTTCTCCATTCAATGACAAGACAGGAACACATCATCAAACTGTAGATTAATGTCCTTTGTCTCTTGTTTTATATATCTATATATCTCCATACACACACATGCACACACACACACACACACACACAACACATAAAATTTCACAGCTTTCTAGGAATCTATTCTTCCTATAACATGGCATATAAAGTCAAAGTCCTCTTTGATCATGTTCTCAATCTTGAGCTCCTCCTCCATTTGTAGAGGTGATGATGGTATGGTCAGTTTGGAGCACATCCTTTGACAGCTTTTTCTGTTACAAATGGATGGATAGAAAACATTCTGCATTTTTTTAAGTTGTATCATGCTGCATGTATTTTTCTACACATTGCTTTTGTTTTTCAACAGTGCGTTCTAGATCTTTCTGGGTCAGTTCATAGGCTTCTACCTTATTATTTTTTAAAATGCTTCTTAGTGTATAATAGCCTAGGCTGTCCTATTAGTAGTCAGGCTATTGATGTAACTCATTGTTCATTATTCTGTTTGTTTTTGTAAACATTTTTATACCTATCTCCCACATATACAGTGTTTCTCTAGTGTGCATACTGAGAGGTGGAATTACTGGGTCAGAGAGTGTTTATTTATTTATATGTAGTTTAATAAAGCTGTTGCACTAATACTCTTTAAAAGAGTTACACCATTTTATATTGCTGTCATCTGCATAAAAGTGCCTGTTCCCCCACAATCTCCAAAATACTTGATATTATCAAATGTCTACATGTGTGCCAATTTAACTCTAACGGGTGAAAAATGGTATCTCATGGTTGTTTAATTTGCATTTTTCTGCTTAGAAGTCAAACTGGCCATTTGTTTTTTCTGAATTTTCTGTTCAAATATCTCACTCATTTTTTACTGTTGGATAGCCTTATTAATTTATCCATCAAATATGTACTAGAATGCCTGCTATGTGCCAAGGATTGTGCTAGGTGCTAGAGATTTTGTGGCAAATTAACTAGATAAACATCCCTGCTCTCAGAGAGGTGACAGTTTAGTTCTGGGAGAAAGGCTTAGGCAAAAGAAAAAAAAAATATATATATATATTGTGTTTGGCTGGATAAAAAGTAGGAGAAAGCCACCGGAATTGGAATTCAGTTCTAAATAGATGGCCAGGGAATCTTTATTTACTCACTGTAGGCATTCTCTATTCTATGTGCTAATCCTTTATCTGTTATATGTTGCACATATTTTCTTTCAGAATTTAACTATCTTTTGACTTAGACTATGGTATTTTTGTCTCACTCTTTTTAAAAATTATACAGTCAAACTTTGTTAATTGGAATATAGTCATGTAAGAAGTGAAAGTTCGTTCTTTTGATCTTTTCAGGCAGCCACTAGCAAGAGCTCTATGTTTGTCCTTTCAGTTTATTTTCAGTTCATTTCAGTTTTTATCCTCACTCCTATGCATCATTCCTTCCACCCCCAGTCGTCAATTAAGCACAGTTTCCGGCTGTTTCTCCATAAGTGCAATTCTGACTTATATTCTTTCTAGTGGCTGCTTAATATTCAATGTTGGAGGGGATCCCTGTAATTTATTCAAACATTACCCTCTGGCTGGACCTCAAGGTCATTTCCAGTTCTCCTTTCTTCCGGATGCTGCAGGAATCCCATCCTCTGTCTTTTGCCATGAGTTCTCCGTGTGTGTGTGTGTGTGTGTGTGTGTGAGAGACAGCCACCACACCCCACATCTGAATAATTTTGTTTTCTCTCCCCCAGCTCCATGGCTACATGGAAAACAAGCCTCTGGGACTTCAGATCTTCATTGGGACAGCTGATGAGCGGATCCTTAAGCCACATGCCTTCTACCAGGTGCACCGAATCACGGGGAAAACTGTCACCACCACCAGCTACGAGAAGATTGTGGGCAACACCAAAGTCCTGGAGATCCCCCTGGAGCCAAAAAACAACATGAGGGCAACGTAAGGGCTGGGGGCTGGGGGTGGTGGGTCTTCATGGAGAAGCGAGCAGGGGACAGGTGGCAGGGATTTGGGAGAGGGGATTCTACGGAACTGATGGGAGCAGCTGTTGATGATAGTCCTCAGTCTATGATCCATCCACCCATTGTGATTTCTGTTTTAAATGTTTCTATTTTAAAAGTATTATATGTAGGTCAGGTACAGTGGCTCACGCCTATAATCCTAGTGCTCTGGGAGGCTGGGGCAGGTGGATCACTTGAGATCAGGAATTTGAGACCAGCCTGGCCAACATGGTAAAATCCCATCTCTATTAAAAATACAAAAATTATCTGAATGTGGTGGCGTGCACCTGTAGTCTCAGCTACTCTGGAGGCTGAGGCAGGAGAATCTCTTGAACCCAAAGGGTGGAGGTTGCAGTGAGCCAAGCTCACACTGCTGCACTCCGGCCTGGGTGACAGAGTGAGAATCTGTCTCAAAAATTAAAAAAAAGTATAATATGTCAATATTTTCATGCATTTTGGGAGAAAGAATATTCATGAATCTTTGTATGACATTGCATGGGATCAGATTAAATTTACTTACATTTAAAAAATTGATTTGACCTAGAGAGATCATTAAGTAATGATGCAGGGAGGTCCAAGTTCACAAGGCTGATGTGCTTGTGGCTAAAATTTGGGAACCACTGCATCCATTCTGGGGTTATAAAAACCTTTGGATGGGAAAATAAATTCAAACTTACAGAAATACTGCAAGAAGTGTACAAGGAACTTCTGAATTTTGCTCCCTCAGATTTTCCAAGCGTTAACATGCTTGACGTGTGCTCCGTCACTTTCTCTCTCGCCTCTCCATTTTTTCCTGAACCGTTGGAGAGGTAGTTGCAAACTTTATGCCCTTTTACTTTTAAATACTTCAGGATGCTTTTCCTAAGAATAAGGATGCTCTCATACACAACCACAGTGCATTTATTCAATTCAAGAGATTTCATGTTGATTCACTATTCTTACCTATTGAATAGTCCACCATCAATATTCCCCAGTTACACAGAGTTTTTCAGATATTTTTGAGTAGAAGTGTAGGCATGAAAAATCTTCCTAGAGAAGTAATTTTCACTGGGGAGTTTCTCTAATTGCTTTGTTAACTGTTTTACCCCCACCTTGGTATACATTCCCGGCTGAAATGCTTATGTGGGTGTATGGCAGTTTCCCCCAGTGGCTGGCTGTAGAATTATTTTGGGTGCCTAAGGCAGCTTTGGGGGTGATCTTTCCTGCTCCTGAAGATAGTTGGTGACAATGGGGTTCTTAACCTCCTGGCAGCATCGACTGTGCGGGGATCTTGAAGCTTAGAAATGCCGACATTGAGCTGCGGAAAGGTGAGACGGACATTGGAAGAAAGAACACGCGGGTGAGGCTGGTTTTCCGAGTTCACATTCCAGAGTCCAGCGGCAGGATTGTCTCTTTGCAGACTGCATCTAACCCCATCGAGTGCTGTAAGTTGGGCCCTGCAGCCAGATCTTTCTTTGGAAAGCTAGGGTCTGTGTGCTTACCCCCCCGGGAGCAGGGGATTCTGGGGGAGGTACCCAGGTTGGCCTCCGGGAATGTGTGGGATCCACAGGGTTATGCTGGCCCAAGATGACCAGAGGGGCCAGAGACAAGCACATTGAAGTGTTCTCTTGCTGCTTCTATTTACTTCTGGAAGGTTTTGTGTCCTCATAGGAAATTAAAAAATAATAGGGCCAATAAGTAGACTATAGTTTTGTTCTAAATACTTGATATATGTAAATATCATTCTGGTCTTAAAAGGACAGATGCATTTGGAGTGAGTTTTCTGTATACATGGTGTCCTTTTTTCTTTTCCTCCTTTATTCTTTCAATAACAATAATAAACTACAGCAGCTCTCACTCATTGAGCTTTGACTCTGCTGGTCACAGTGTTAAGTGCTCAGCGTGAATATTCACAGCAATCCCTGGCACAAGCTGGTGTCAGTGTGCCCGTTTCACAGATGGGGAGGTAGAGTCACATGGGGGTAAGTGGTGCACACAACCAAAGAGTAGCAGGGTTGGGACTGGAACCGGGGCTTTTGCATGCAGGAGCCAGGCCCTGTGCCCCACGCATAGCCCGTCTCTGTGTGTTGACTGAGGTCTGTTTTGTATCCTGCACTGTGCCAGGGGTTGGGGATCCATAGATGAGCAGGACACTTTCTCTGGCCTTAATGAGGTTACGGTCTGGAGAGGATAAGGACACCCAGACAGACGCTTGTATCATCGCAGAAGATTTTCAAATCTAATATGAAGTGACCAAGGTCAGCCATTTGGAAGGACACTGGGCAGAAACCTGGCATGTGTCTACCAGATTTCAAAAGAAGTAGTAGCTTCGAGCTCATTCTTAGGTACTTTATACCTAAGTGTAAAATCTGCCTATACTTTAACAGGGTTTTCTGGTTAATTTTTGCAATTAGATGTGACAACACTTACTATCTGCTCAAAAGTTTAGAAGTTACTTTAAAAAGCATAAGGAAGAGGCCGGGCACCGTGGCTCACACCTGAAATCCCAGCACTTTGGGAGTCCTAGGCGGGCAGATCACTTGAGGTCAGGAGATTGAGATCAGCCTGGCCAGCATGATGAAACCCCGTCTCTACTAAAAATAGAAAATTAGCCGGGCATGGTGGTGTGCGTCTGCAGTCCCAGCTACTTGGGAGGCTGAGGCAAGAGAATCACTTGAATCCGGGAGGCAGAAGTTGCAGTGAGCTGAGATCATGCCATTGCACTCCGGCCTGGGTGACAGAGGGAGACCCTGTCTCAAAAAGAAGCATAAAAAGAAAAAAAAAACCATTGTTCCAGAAACAAAAACCTTTTCTATTGTTTTTTAGCCTCTTTCTTTTAAGAACATTTTATGTTGTTATGATCATGTTCCATATTAAATTATGGTTCAGGAATTTTTTTTCCTTTTTGCTGAAGATTTTACTATAACTGGGTGTCACAAAATCAATTTCCTGCAGAGGCCAGGGAGGTGATGAAAGTGAATGGGGTAGGTTGGGTGTTAGACATGGGGAGTAGTGGAGACTGGGGACATTCCCACCTAAATGTGCTGCTGCTACTCAACTGCAGCCACTATTTCCACATGGGAATGTAGACTCAATGTCATCAAATATTTTCGTTATTTTATTATTTTATTTTTCTATCAAGAAGGAGTCTTGCTCTGACGTCCAGCCTGGAGTGTTGTGGTGTGATCTCGGCTCACTGCCACTTCTTCTTCCAGGGTTCAAGTGATTCTTTTGCCTCAGCCCTCCGAGTAACTGGAATTACAGGCACCCGCTACCACGCCTGGCTAATTTTTTGTATTTTTTAGTAGAGACGGGGTCTCGCCATGTTGGCCAGGCTGGTCTCAAACTCCTGACCTTAGGTGATCCACCCACCCAAGCCTCCCAAAGTGCTCACCCACCTCAGTCCCAAAGTAGGATTACAGATGTGAGCCACTGAGTCTGGCCTATTTTATTTCAAGTTCCAGGGTACAAGTGTAGGGTCTGCGTGTTTGTTACATAGGTAAACATGTGCCATGGTCCTTTGCTGCGTATATCAAAGGGAGCTGGAAATCTTTTGGTTTTTAAAAATAAACCAAAAAAGCTCCTGATTAAAAAAAAAAAAGAAACAAAATCAAAATACTCTGTGGGTCAGAAAAAATCTGCAGATAGCTTCTGTTAATCAGAGGTAGTTTTAAGACTAACATGCAGAAGGAAAGCATATTTTCTGCAGAAGAGGTTGGGAAAGACTAACCCTCATGATGGGAAAAGCCAGGAAGGAGAGAGAATGACCCTTTCTTCGGGAGAGTGGCTAGAACTTGGTCTTGGTGGGTCTTTGGAAATGAATGAAGAGTCACTCTGATTTCTTTCAGCCTTTGAGTCCAGACTGAAATTCTTGGGTCAGTCTGAGTTGGTGATGAGTTTATGTTCTGGTCTTAGGAGAGAAAGACCCAAAAGTAGGTAACCAGGGAAAACACATGTTGAAAACCAGTTTACTAGAAATAGTGGAATTCCCCTACTCAGCTCAGCAGACCCCACTCCTCTCCACCAAATGCTGGTCATGGTGGCTGCCCCACCCAGGTCTTGGTTTTGAACCTCTCAAGATGTTTTTGGAAGGAAACTTGCAGTGATTTGGGGGATTTTGAGCAGATGAGGTCTCCCCTTTCTGGCAAATGACTCACTTTCCAGGATGGGGCTGGGGGTTGTAGCACGGTGAGGATGAGGAGCCCCTGATCCTCTCTGTCTTTGGGTTTCTCAAGGCAACTTATCTTATGTCGATCTAAGACTTAACCACACGTACCTCCAGCAAGATCTTCAGGGTGTTAGAAAGCTGCTTGGATGTCAAAAATGGTTTTCTTTTCTTTTTAAGAAGGCATTTGCCTGATTCACCTGCCTTCTTTTGACAGAGAAGGAAACTGACACTTCTTGGTAGGGTGATTCATCTGTTTTTACATGGTAGGTTGGAAAGCCAGAGTCTCCAGCTTTCTGGTTCTGTGAAATCCCTTCTTTTGGTGTTCATAACCGACCCCTTCTTGCAATAGAAGCTGAGCTACCAGTTGGCCACTCCGGTTCTCACTAATAATTTTCTGTCATTTTTATTTACTTCTTTGTTCTGTTTCCCTAGATCAGTGCCTAGTGGGTCCATAAATATTTATTGACTACTTGACTTACTGTATAATCCATAGGGAGGTAGTCAATAAATACATATTGGCAATTAATCAATCACATGCATTGGCAGAGTACTGTAAAATAAATTGTCACTGACTAATGACAGCATACCCTTAGACATTGTGGACTAAGCCAGAGTCTCAATGACAGAGTGAGTTGGTGAGAAAAACACTTTGTGGGCTGGTACTTATTTGCAAGACTAATTTATTTACTTTTGAGATGCCTTTTTTTTTTTTTTTGAGACGGAGTCTCCCTCTTGTTGCCCAGGCTGGAGTGCAGTGGCATGATCTCTGCTCACTGCAACCTCTGCCTCCTGGGTTCAAGCGATTCTTCTGCTTCAGTCTCCCAAGTAGCTGGGATTACAAGTGCCAGCCACTGTGCCCAGCTAATTTTTGTATTTTTAGTAGAGATGGGGTTTCACCATGTTGGCCAGGCTGGTCTCGAACTCCTGATTTTGTGATCCACCTGCCTTGGCCTCCCAAAGTGCTGGGATTACAGGCATGAGCTACCTTGCCCAGCTGGAGGTGGATTTTATGTACTGTGTTAGGGATCAAGGATAAGTTTTCAGATGCTAACAGAAACCACATGAACAAACTACCAGAGGCTGTTCTTTGGAAGGTGGAGTGATTTGCTCGAAGCGCAGGTGGCTTATGTTTCTTTGCATGCCAGCTGGCCAGAGCCCCAATCTCACTGTTGTGCAGACTGGCACCCTTGCGTTTCGGTCTTCTGTTTCCACTAGGGCTTCAGCATCGCCAAGGAGATCCCTCCAGCTGCTTCCACTGCTCCTTTCCTTTTCTTGGGAAGACTGACTTGACCCTTCTCCAGTCTGCCAGTCTCTGAATGCCGCCCCCACTTCTCACTCCATGTAGATAACCGCACTTCCCACTTCCCTGGGAGTATGGAATAGATTGGGGAAACACCCCATCTTTCCCAACAACAGGCCTACCCATGACAGATGGCAGCTGTGGGGGCCTGACCTCCCTTCTCCACTTGGCATGGAGCAGTTCTCCTCTTCTCCTGCTCAGCCTCCTTCCCCGCCTGAGCCCAGCCTCCTCGGTGTGATCAGCTTCAACTCCAGTTTCCCCGTGGGGGTAGAGCTGGCGCCCGCTTCCCTCTTAGGTTAGTTTCCTTGGCTGTCGTAACCAATGACCATAAACCAGGTGGCTTGAAACAACAGAAATGGATTCTTTCATGGTTCCAGAGGCCCAAAGTCTGAAATCAAGGTGTCAGTAGAGTTGGTTCCTGCTGAAGACTCAGGGGAGAAACCGCCTGTGCCATCCCCGCCAGCTTTTGGTGCCTGCTAGTCTCCCTGGCCTTCCGTGGCTTGTGGTTGTCATGCTCCAGGCTCTGCCTCTGTCTGCACGTGGCTCTTTCTAGGTCTCTGTGTGTGTCTTTTTCTGTTGCTTATGAGGACGCACTTACAGAATTCAGAGCTAATCCAGAGTGAGCTCGCCTCCATTCTTACCTTAATTGTATCTGCGAAGACTCTGGTTCCAAATCAGGAACACTCTGAGGTTGTGGGTGGATGTGAAGTTTGCAGGCAGGAGGAGTCAGGTGGGGGGGTACTGTGTAACTCACTACACTTCCTCAAATGAATTTCTTGGCTTCCCTTCCTGTCTGCTCCTGAGTTCTCAAATGCACTGGGATCTTTCTCTTTTAGGCTTTTGCACACTGTCACCTCCACCCAGAACATAGGTTCTCAAACTTGACTGGATGTTAGAATTACCTGGGAGTTGTATTAAAAAATACTGCTGCTAGGCCAGGCTTGGTGGCTCACATCTGTAATCTCAGCACTTTGGGA